CCTTACAGTATCAGACCTCAATTGAATGCCAACAAATAAAAGTTTTTAGAAGTGATTTAAAATTACCCAGACTGTGGGCAGATCTGCCCACAGAAGGGTAACTTATTCCAGAGAAACATCCAAATGCACACAAATAGATATAAAATCCTATAAAAGGTCTTGTAACCATTAAAACTGGGGAGATTTTGGGATATTTTCAGGAGACTTGTTGCTGTTGAATTTGTAATGTGTATGCAGATGTGCTAAATAAATCTCCTCCTGGTTGGCCTGATCAGAGAAGAGCAGATATGAGCCCTGTGTGATGATTTCTTTTATTCCATAAGTTTGTCACTTTTTAGTTCCCCAACAATAAGAACAACAACAGAATGAGCACCACATCCTTTGTTCTTAAGTCAAGTCCGAGGGACATTTAATAGCAACTGATTATTTGATTTTAAAATTCTGAACAATGTGTAGTTTCTGGGAGCCAACCCAATTAAAACTTTCTAAGTTGTTAAAAGAATCTTACAATCTATGTGATACAAAACAGGTAGCAAGGTTAAAGAGGCCAATATTGGCCTTATATGTTAAGGTATGGCGGGTGGCTGCTGTCAAAAAATATTTATAGCTTCTAGAGTTGTGCCTCTCAGCATGGTACAGCAGCTCAGATACTTTAGTTTTGATTACCGTTAGTTCTGTTTCTAGACTTTTGCCCATAATTGATTTAATTGTTGCTGTTTGGACAATTATTCCTTCTGTTTCTGGATGCAGTGCAACTGGAGGATTTTTACTTCTACTTTTGGACATTTACATATATATATATATATTTTTTTTGCAAATGGAAAAAGCTGATTACCATCTCAAAATCTCAAATAATAGCTGAACTGTGACCCCAAGTTAAGATGAAAAGGAGGCTTTATGGATACAGAGCAGGACGAGAGGAAGTTCAGACCATCTCTTCCATCCAACATGATGACCAAGGATCATATGGCAGACTTGGTCATGCTGTGTTGGTCCTCGTCTGTCAGCTTTCTAACTGTACACTAGACATAAATTTAAAGAGGAATGGATTAACCGATTTAACCAGGTTAGATGACTGAGGAGTGGTCCACATTAACAAAAGCTTAAAGAACCACAACCAGTCAATTATCATAAAAATTCAAATTCCAACTCCAATTCCACTCGTTCATTTGGCCAATCTTCCGTAAAACCCAAGTGAGTTAGGCGGAAGGTTCTGGCAGATCTCTGACTTGCAGGCTCTGTTCTTGTGTTCCTGGCATGTGTGTGGTGTTGCTGTGAGCCCGATTCTGTCCAGCAGCTCAGTGAATGTATTGTGGGGAATCAGCTACCTCTGCGGGCCGAACCGAGCCGGGCTGCTGGAGGTGGAGTCCAAACTTTACCCAACCTTCAGGACGGGGCGGTGCAGGGAGGAGCAGCACAGAGACTTCCTAAAAACAGGTTCCTGTCGTCTGCTCACGCACGTTGTTCTTCCTCAAGTTCTAAAACTCCAGCAAGAGCCGAACTCGTCCAGACCTGGACCCGCAATTTTCGCTCTGGCCGCTGATGAACGTCTACCTTACCAGTTCTAGACCGCCTGGATGGAGACGGACCGTCTGCTGACCGGGGCTGAGGACCAACACAGCGGGGACTATGGCTCCGGCCCGGCCAGAAGTGGCGGAGATTCGCGGGGCAGCAGGCGGATGTCTTACTCTACTACTAGGGACTACTGCCGTTTGGATGGAGGTACGGGACAGCAGAGTGACAGTGTGACGTCTCTTGATTATTGTCCTTGTATCAGCAGGTTATTACTGTAGATGGAAGCTGCAGTTGACTGTAGTTACAATGTCATGTTTCCAGAAGCGATACGAAATAACATGTTGTGACTTCTCATATTTTCACTGCACTAACCTCGAGTAGACTCTTAGTAACGATCTGGACTTGATGTACATCCTGGTGTGACGTCATATTCTCAGGTGAAAGCGTTAGATCTCAGTAGAGAGGCCACATGAGGGAAGCTGGATTCATTTTGAAACTTTCCCTCCTTTCTGTCTGTGTTGCTCTTGCTTGAAAACCTTTAAATGTTTTTCCTCAGACGTTTGGATTAAAATAATCCTAAAATAAGTGCTGTTTTTCCAAAAAGCCGCCATTCAAATGTCATTCACAAAAGACAAACACTTTTATCATGGCTGCTTTCAGTAAAACTGGCTTAGTGTTAGATGAGCCTGTTTTTCACAATTCATCTTTTTAGGCTGTGATAACTGAAGTTAGAAGCCGTCTTGTTTTCAACGTTTAGCAGTCATAATAAACACAAACAAGAACCTGGCTGAATGTGAAATAAAATAGCTGCGGCTGCAGAACAAATAAACTAGATTGCACCACTTGCAACTGGATCATAGAAAAGAAGACAGTAGTTATTGTTCAGTTCACTGCAGAGCTCCACTTTATTCAAACCTGAAACCTCATACTTCTTCGGCCAAAATCCTGCTTATGTTTTAGTTTTTACTTCTATAAAGCATTTCTGGCACGTCATAAGAACTCTTGTAATAGTAAATTAGTAACTCAACGATTGACAGAATTTCAAGACAAATTGAAGCATGTCACTTCTCTAAAGCTGATAGTCTCCATCGACCGATAAGTTTTGTTGTTGTGAGCTGGTGCCTATCTGGAGCAGAGAAGAGGAAAACACCTTTGACATGTCAACCAGCAATCAGGGAAAATATAGAGGACATAAAACGTTTTTTTTATAACCTAAAAGTGGGGTATTATGTAAAATAGACAACTGGTTTCAGCTTTATTGTGTTTTAATGTTAGTTCTTTGTCAAACACCTTCCTGGAGTGCAGCCTTGATTTTTTTATGCAAGTTTATGGAATCCTTTTTCTCCAATGGCAACCATTTCTATGTTTTACACCACTGCATCCGATACTTTGCATTGCTCTTGGTGATGTATGGCTTGGAAGCAGCTGCTCCACCATGGAAACCCATTCCATGAAACTCTCTGCACACTGTTCTTGAGCTAATCTGAAGGCCACATGAAGTTTGGAGGTCTGTAAGGTAAGGTAATTTTATTTATATAGCACATTTTCAGCAACAAGTCAATACAAAGTGCTTTACATTAATTAAAAGGAAATACAAACAAAATAACAAACCAAAGGAAAGAAAGAAAGAAAGAAAGAAAGAAAGAAAGAAAGAAAGAAAGAAAGAAAGAAAGAAAGAAAGAAAAAAGAAGAGAATCTAATGTTGATCTAAAGTATGTAAACTAAGTGCTCCTGCTCAGGGTTGCTAAGTATCTAATTCCATTTCTGGGTTGGGAGAACAGGAGTCTGAAAAATAGTCTAACAATGTTGACTATGTAGTGATTGGCTCTGCAGAAAGTTTGCAAACTTTTTGCACTATGAGCTTCGGCATCCGGTGACCACCCTGTGTCAGTTTACATGACCTACCACTGAGTTGCTGTTGTTACCAAACACTTCCATTTTCTTATAATACAGCTGAGAGTTGACTGTGGAAATTTCACGGCTAGATTTGTTGCACAGTTCCACACTGGAATTCACTGACCTCCTGAGAGCAAGCCATTCTTTCACGAAGATTTGTGAAAACAGTCTGTATTCCTATCAGACTGTTTCTATAAACCTGTGGTCATGGAAGTGATTGGAACACCTGATTCCAGTCATTTGAATGGGTCAACAAATACTATTGGCAATATAGTGTAGTTACTAGTGCCATTTTATAGTTCTGTGTGCCTAGAAAGTGCATAATACTACCTCTTTAAAATGCAAAAAATGACTGTTGTGCAATTTTGAAGTTTTTTTTTCAGTCAGGAGTAAATTAAAGACAGTATTTTCAGAAAACAAATATATATTTTTGCAGAGTTTTGTCAAGTTTCTGTAAATCATTGCAGATCCAAAACATTAAAAGTTCCTGTTAGCCTTAACAGAAGAAACACATACAGTCCCCCAAATGTTGGGTTGACTGTTTTCTTTTTCCTTGGCCTAGAAAATATTTTGTGTTAATTTTCTGAAATAAGAAAATTAACACAAATTAATTTGTGTTAATTTGTGTTAACACAAATTAACACTGACTGAGAAAATGTCAGTCATTAAACTGACATTTTCTCAGTTTAATGACTGGTTTTCCAGAACTGATGTAGCTGGATGGTTAGGTTTTAGCTCACTATGCAATGTATATGAAATAAGGTGTATAGAAGGCGGATACTGTGTGTTGTATTTAACATTGGGATTTTCAGAAATTTGTTATTTGCTTACTGTTTCTTTGAATGGCCTGACATGAGTGACTGACTCATGTCAGGCCCATTTTAACAGCATCAACCACCTGCACTGGTAGGGATCTCCACTTAATTTAACCTGACCTATCATGCATGTTTCAGGACTGGTGAGGAAATGACAGAAGCCAAACAGGCACAGGGAGAAGCCCCTTCACACTGAACTACCATACTGGTGCATCCCACCCACAAATCTTCTTATGACTAAATTAAAGCAGCATGAATGTTTTCTAACATTCAGTATTTTTGCTCTTAAGACTTAAAAGCTATACTTTACTGGAACTTTACAAATATAGAAAGGTGATTTGTAAACTTTGTAAAGGTTCAATTAAGAAGTTTAAATATTATGAGATGAAGAAACAAAAACTAGTCTCCCCAGCATTTCATAAAATTGCTGCCATTACAAAATGTTGCTGTATTGTCAGCAGTTGTCGCTGAAGCTCATGGGGTTGTGTGTGACTTGATCTCTGCAGAGTGAGATGTTCTTTTGTATATGTCTGTCTCAGGTACCGGCTGCTCCTTCAGAGGCACCCATGGTCAACCTGACACACCCTGCTGTGACACATTGAGTCAGCAAACCACATGTTGCTACATTTTTGACTCATGTAGCTGGAACAATTGAAGTCACTCAACAAATGTTTGACTGAATGTGCTGATTGTTGTTTCTGTGTCAAACAGCAGTTTCTACTCTAAGGCTTCTTAACTCTAATAAACTCCACCTGAATACAACAGAGTACAGATTAAAACTACTTTATTAACCCCAAAGGGGTATTAGGCGGACCAAAGCATGTTGGTTTGTCTGTCCAATTAAACTGAAGCAGAAAAAATGCTTAAGACATGCTGTGATTCTCAGATCATAATAGTTGAGACACAGTTCTGATCACCTTAGACTTACAGGAGGTCTAAGGTGACCTTCTATGGGTCACCTTATGTGTGTGCCTGTACATTAAGCTGTAACTTAATGTACAAGCACACACTCTCGTTTAAGGACAATTTAGAGAGATCAACCAACCAATAACTAACAGCAATGTTTTTGGACTTCGGGAGGAGTATCCAGAGAGAAACCACGCATGCACAAGGAGGATATGGTAACTCCATGCAGAAAGACCCCTGGTCAATATTCAAACCCAGAATCTTCTAGGTGCAGAGCAACAGCGTGAGAAAGATGCTACCACTGAGTGAGAAAATACAATTAAACTGATCAACAGTGACATCGGTCCTCTAAAACAAAAAAGGTTTTGCTTTTAGTCAATAATGGTTCCTTTATGATCTGGAATAATAGTGGAAAAAGTTGCAAAATTTTCTGAAATTACAGAGAATTTCAATGAGTTTATCTAAGAAAAACAGAAATTGGTATGATGACTAATTTTCTTGAAAGTAAAACATGGTGCACTTTGAACATATTTCATAGATGCTATCTTCAGATTCATTTTTTTTATTTCAAACACAAGAACAATAATCTTAGAACACTTGGGTAATTAGCAATATATTTAAGTCTGATTATTCTGAAATTTTGCCTGTCACTGTTTGAAAGCAGTGAAGTGATCAATGGTTTCCTCATTAAAGTCATTAGCTTTTTTTTCCAGGGGAAACATGTTCAGTGCACTGAGACTAGAGCCGTTGCATTCCACAGGAACAACTTCATTCTTGTTAGTATGGAGAAACGGCAGCAGTTGCAATGGGAGGAGTAACAAAGATGTTCAACAATATTACAGTCTCAGATTTTGACTGGAGGTTTATCTCTGGAGAACCTGATGCCGCCCTTGAATTCAAGATTCTCACAAATGAGGGAAAATTCTGTCTTGTGTTCAGCCTTTTTTGACTCTGTAGATTTCACTCACAGTTTCATTCAGAGGTTAATAGATATAACCAATAAAAAATACAAAATTTTCTCCAGAGAAAGATTATTCTCTTCCAATCCAATTGTTAGCTTTATTAATTCCCCATTCATTATCCCATTATCATTCAACTTGCATTTAGTTGGAAGATAGCTCATCAAGTTGACAAAATTGAGCTACTTCACAATCCATTAGTCAGTCAATCCAGTTTATTTGTATAGCATATGTCAGCAACACGGTACTTCAAAGTGCTTTACATCGTAACAACACAAAACTAAAAAGTCATAAAAGACACAATGCAGATAATAATTGATAAACCAGTGACAACACTACATTGTGACAAGTGCCATTATCAAAATGAAAACAAATCAAATATGTTGGTGGATAGGTTATTATGGTTCTAAACTTTGTGCTTCAGTCTAATCCAGAAAAAAAAGCTCATAAAGTAGGCAGAAAAAAGCTCATCTGGATCCTACAGTGGGATTGTATCCTCACTTCGGAAGGAGTAAAGCTCTAATGTCCAGAGCTGAGACAGACTGGGGTGTGGGAAGGCAGAGCACTCTCATACAAATGAAAGAATCATTTGTTCATCAGAACTTTTTATGTTTTAATAAAAAGTGAAAAGTTAATGGAATTAGTGGCTTCTTCTTGAAGAATCACAGCTAAACAGAGTCGCTCTGAGCCAGAAGGAGAACATAAAGGGTAAAAACAGTATACACAGTTCCATGTGAGGACTAAAGTATGACCATCTGTTCATCTCCATCTTCAGATACTTTTTTACTTACCGTTTTATCTATTTTGATGTTCCCAGCTTGTCCCAAAAAGCTAATTCTTGAATTCAATATGTTACATTGACCGACAGTAGCTCCTGACCAATGTTAGCTGTCTGTATGTTTTCTACTTCTCAGACTGAATTTTGATGGTTCTGCTGTTTTTGTTCGTCTCAGATGATGAGGACCTGTACATCCAGCAGGCAGTTGTTTTTGTTGAAGATGCCATTCATGTGAGTGTACTCAAAGTTTATTAATTTCTTTCTAATTTAAAAAGACTAATGTTGTTCTGCTCTCCAGTCCACCTAGGTGGATGATATTTCTAAGGGGTTGCATGTCAGGTTGCACAAAGTGAAACATTTTTGGATTGGAAAAACAATTTTTCTTTTCTAATGTTGTATATGGCATACAGCACACTTTATCCACTTTCCAGTCTATCATCAGCGATAGAGGAGGATGCATGTACCCAAACATCTGCTTGAGACACATTCCGTATATAAAGAGCTTTTTTGTAAAGCTAAACACATTAATGCCCAGTGCTAAAAGTAGATTGATTTTGATCTACACTGTTGTAGAGCAAAGCTTGGTGTTTGTGCATCAGACATAATTTTTCTTTCTCCGATTGATTTTAACAGCTTTTTTCTTTGTTGCAGTTTTTAGTTGAAAATGGTTCACTGCTGTATTGATAAAGTCTGCCTTTTTTCAGTACCGCTCCATCAACCACCGGGTGGATGCCAGGTCTCTTCGTCTCTATCGATGGTACTACTCAAGAATATGCCAGTGGTGAGTTTGCACTTTTCACCAGCTTTGACTAATATTTAAATTGGTTTAATGTTCTGGAACACTGAAAGTGTGACAAACATGCAAGAAAGAAGGAACTCAGGAAGGGGGCAAACACTGTTTCACACCACCATAAATGAAAATGAAGAGATTATGCACACTCCGCTGGAGATGGAATTACTGGAATTACTCCCAGTTGAGTTATGCTTCATTACTGAAGCATAACTCAACTTTTTGGGAGTGTTGGCATCTCCGAGCATCTCCATCACAACTTTCGGCTGAAAACTGTGTCTGAATGAGGAGCATGGTTCTGCTCCTCATCCAGCTCACCAATGTCCTCCACCAGAGTCAATGACATCATCGAGACAGCTGAGAAACACACTAATCGTACCTCACATATTCCAAATAACCAAAATATGTCATTATCATATCATTTTTCATCTGTATGAAAATGGCACCACCGGAGCCAACTCACCACTACCTGGTGGTGAGTTGGCTCCGGTGGTGGGGGAGGAAGCCGGTTAGACCTGGCTGGCCCAAACGTGTAGTGAGGGTCTGCTGGGAACGTCTGGCGGAGTCCCCTGTGAGACGGAGCTTCAACTCCCATCTCCGGCAGAACTTCGAACACGTTCCGGGGGAGGTGGGGGACATTGAGTCTGAATGGACCATGTTCCGTGCCTCATTTGCCGAGGCGGCTTATCGGAGCTGCGGCCGCAAGGTTGTTGGTGCCTGTCGCGACGGCAACTCTCGAACCCGTTGGTGGACACCTTTGGTGAGGGATGCTGTCAAGCTGAAGAAGGAGTCCTATCAGGCCTTTTTGGCCTGTGGGACTCCAGAAGCAGCTCATGGGTACCGGCGGGCGAAGCGGCATGCGGCTTGGGTGGTCGCTGAGGCAAAAATCTGGGCGTGGGAGGAGTATGGAGAGGCCATGGAGAAAGACTTCCGCAC